ACGGTCCGGCTCTCCTGCGGCAGCACCCGCTTCGCACATCTGGAGTGGCGTGTGTGTGGGGGGGGTGTCTTCCCGTATTTCTGGGAAGGTTACATTTTTTTGCGAAATATCGCCCGGTTAATCCATTATTTGTACATCAGTTTGCACCGGAGTCTATCATCCTTACATCTCTTCTGTATTATTCCGTAGTACTGTATATTGTTTCCACCTTTTTAGTTTAACCTGGTCTGATAGTATGTTGCCCACTGATCTTTTAGCATTCCTAACTTAGATTTAAATTACCCATTCATTTTTTTTAGATCTTACAAAAGAGCTCGTTTTCCCTCTTCCATTCTGTTTCTTTGCATTGGTTACTGTAATAGTTACCTTTGTCTCTACATGATAGTTATTGAACAGTAGAGACAAAGCCTATATAAAAAGACAATCTTTATATAACATAATTATTGACCACAAATCAGACATCAGGAATGGCCTTACATAGAAAACTGTTTCAAATCATTGTGGACACTCTGCACATGATTTGAAAGCTGTCATTCTGGGGGATTACAGGACAACAATCCAGAGAGAGACAGCTGGGATAAAATATAGACATATGTTTAAAATCCTTCTCAGTGGACTCAATATAAGCCAAAGTTTCTTAGGCCACTATAAAATGTACAATACTGTTATATCTGCTGAAATTCCTAGCTACATTTCCTTACTACAGTATATACTGTACTAGTGACACCCTCACAAGCCCCATTAGTGATTAGAGATACTTACTACTATGTTATTCCTACTTGCTATCTACAGCCTGGGATTAATTTAACCATCAACGTTATTGTTATTGTTGTTTTTCCCTAGGAAGCTGGGCTGAGGGCGAAGGCCAGGTATGTTTGCAAATTTTGTATCTGGCCTTAATATGATAAATAAGAAAGCCAATTAGATTTGCATAAGCCTGGGAGTCAGGAAAGTTTTAAGGATCAGATCATACTTTTGCACTATTAAAGAGCAGGCCGGGTAGGTGGGGCTCATCAGCCGTGGAAGGCAGCCCATCTAGGAGAAGGAAAACTCCGATTTCAAACCTCCACTGCCTTGTGGCTATATCCACTGATGGAAAAGGCTTCAGGAGTTAACCTCGAGGCAAAATCCAGAGCTGGAGTCCTGAAGGCAGCATGTGTCGTTCTGCCAACTCCTGCGACGTTGCTGGAACCAGTCGTATTAGCTCTTGCCTTTTCATTGGAATATTTCAGCAATGTGGAGAGGGGGGATCTGCTGCTTGGGTAACAGCCTATCCTCCATATTACCTTACCTGGGCTTCATGCTCTGGAGAAGACACTCCTCGATTCAGAGCATGTTACCATAGTCTCTCAAGACTGAAGGATGCCTATGCTAACGTTATTGTTTACAGAACAATGCTTCCTAGGAGGGAAAATGAATCAATAGGAGTTTTAAAGGGCACTGCCAGATGTGAAATGTCACACTAGCAACAACTTGTATAAATATATAATTATTTGCCATGTAGTCCCACTCTTATGTCTGAAGAAATGAATTTGTCCAAGAAAGGTCACATTAAAATACAGTGGTTAGTCTTTAAGGTGCTACAACGTGTTTGTCTTCTTTTAGTTTTGCCTGATATGCTAGCATGAACTAAACGGCCACCTCTTCTAAAATGAAACTATTTCTGTCATTTTTTATTTTTGCTTCTCACCTGTAGTTAATTATTCTAAGTGCTTCTTCAATCATAGATTTTTTTCCCTTCTGGATTGTCTCTTTGCATTCTATCCTGCTAATACCTCTGGTTTCAGTTTACAGTTGTTCTGTTTCAAAATCAACTGCATTTAGTAACTCAGGTTGATCTTACTTAGGTTTTCAAAGTATGTGAGATGTTCAAGGCATGGCTTACCACAGCCATCCTGACCCCCACCCTCATTTCCAAGGTGATGCAAGAATTTGAACCAAGGTCTCCTGAGCCCAAACGGACATTCAATCCACTATACCAGAGTTGGACTCCCTCTTGAAAATCGTTTAAGAGAGCCTGACAATGATGTTTTTTGGGTGAAGCAAGAAAGCTGGCTAGAACCCAGAATGAACAATGCATGCATGCTGAAAACATTATTATTGATCAATTCACATAGGACTTTAAAAAAATAGACACCAACATGAACTGGCATTTCCAGTATTTGGCACCTGTGAATGCTCAAAATATGTCCCATTTGTGACTCATTACCTCATGGTTTAATCTACTTTTTAAGAACTTTCAGGACTCTGATGGCTTGCAATGTGCAGAGACTAAACATAACATTTGGGCTATTACTGCTTTTGTTGTATACAAAGAACAAAAAATGGATAGACAATGTGGTGTATGGAGTATAGTGACAGACTAAGACTCCGGAGGCCAGGGTTCGAATTCCTGATCAGCCATGGAAGCACACTGAGGGTGCGACGCTGGTAAAACCACTAAATACAGTAAAAAGCCCTGTTAGGGTCGCTGTAACTCAGCGCGGACTTGACTGCACATAACGGGACCAAAAAGGGGGCGTTAGTAGGAAAATATATATACAGGTAAGTGGTCTGGTGTCTCTTAGATGCCTCACTGTTGGAGCGCTTCTGTTTTAGCGCTCTAAAGGAGGTGCTCTTCACTCGAGTGATGATATTTCCTAATCATGTTTCTTACAAAGTGGGACCCACAAGGTCTTTTCCCTCCTTAAGTGGAAGAGAAAGCTATGGGTGGAAATGTCCCGACTCTATGACAAATCCCGTCCCACCCCGGTATGGCGAGCGTAGGAGGCACCCAAGGAGGAAACCGGAGCCATTCCTGCAAGAGCGGAAGGCATGAACTGGGGGGAGAGGTTGCCTTTCGTTCTTAAATCCCGACCTGCAACTTGCAGCCCTTCCTCGGGATTTGCCGCCTCGTTGTGACAGGCAAGGCTTTCTACCCACGCTCAGGAGCGCTCTCTTCATTTTGCCTCACAAGCTGCCAAGACTCCCGCAGACGCCCTCCCCCCCCGGGGGGGGGCTAACTGTGATAAGCAGTGTACAGGTGGGACTC